CAGCCTTCTACTCATCCAGTGGCAGCCACTTGTTACAAATATTATAAAAACCTCAGAAACAAAGACCAGAGGTCTAATGATTCCATTAATGGAGAGTTGAAATAATGTATTTATCAATCAAATTATTTTATCCAAAGTCTTGATAGGTATAAGAGTCATGACTTTGCTGCAGATGCAATGTATAGTCTCTAACTACCTACAGACAGCAGTCTGCTCAAGCTCAACAGAAGAGAGATTTTTTGACATCAGAAAAATGGTCTGCTCATGCACAGCTTGATTCTGTCTTTGGAATACAAAATAGCTGCTTTGCATTTCATTTTAACTTACAAAATAGCACAAGTATTCAGACAGGTCTGTCACTGAGGACTAGGGGCTCGGGATTTCCCCCAGCTACAGATCCCCAGCTACTATGAGTTTTTCATCAGAAAAAAAAAAAAGGAAAATAGAACCAACACAAATTCATAGCTGTTCCATTTCTTGCCTACTAATCCCCAGGGCTGTCAAAAAGTTTTTAAGTAGAGGGCTGATAATGAAAAGTAGGAAGCCCTGGAAATTGCACTAAAGGCACAAGTTCTTGAAGGCCGAGGCAGCTAGGGATATTTTGAAAATTAGAGTCTTGGGAATGGCATTTCCAGGGGTTTTCAAGAGGTATTTTCCACAGCGAACGATATGTTGTTTCGCCAGAATACACGCAAGACTGGGAACAATGATGTTGAAATGTCCCTGGGCATTCCATGACATAACACTGTTTGAATGTTTCACAGATCTAAGCCTGTTTAAATAAGTGTTCAATATCATTCAAAACTGGGAAATGAATGCTTTACATTTTATTTGATGGTGCCTATTTCTTTCAGTTATGGTAGACAGAGATGAAAGTAGCCAGCTAAGGATGGCTAACTAGCTGGCGATTTTGGCCGACTCCTAGCCCTTATTGACAGCCCTGAATCCTTGAACACACTCAGCAAGTTAAAATTTCAGTGACAGCCCAGAGTATTCTCATCGCATTATAAAACAAAATTATTACTATGAATTCAACTTGCTTCACAATGATGTGTGTTTTGTCAGTGTCTTGTATATCAATAATTTTGCCTCTTCCTTCAGCATCAGCAAATGATAACTTTGATCTGTTTGCCAATAACAAAAAACATAATATTTTGCTGACTCTCTTCCAAAAATATTAATTATTTATTAGTGTGTGCAAAATAGTATGATTGCATGTTTATAGTCACCAGCAGTGAACTGTACCTCATCTTCATCTTGCCCATTGAAAGGAAAAGCTGCTTTGACAAGGTGAATTCTGCCTCCATAATCTGTCATCTCCTACAACAACATTAATATCAATAAAGTAAGCATATTAACTTGTGATACTATTTTCTTTGGGGACTGTAGTTCTTCTTTTTTATTTCATCTATTTACCTCTCAGACTCTAATAACCCCAAGTCCGAGATACCATAATAAATAAGCTCTCCAGAGTCTATTCAATTGTACTACCTTAGGTTCAAGATTGGGTCATACTCAACCCAAACAAGTGCCTTAGCCCATTTTAGTATCCTAATCCTCACAAATATGCTTATGACTATGAATAACGTGTTTCAAGATAACAGCGAATGGACGCAAATTTGCAGACTTCAACAAAGAGACTTAGTATAGGAAACTTTTTGCACCATAAACGTTGGTTTGAGCAGGAGGGTTACACTGAGGGGAGTTATCTCTGGAAGTTTACTTACTACTGCAAAAAAATAATCATGGGAACCATGCAGTGCACTTCCCAGATCAATTTTGGTTTCTACGAAACTGCCCACCTACACCTCTCCTATCCCAACATTTCACTCTAAGTGAGAAGTAGGTGTTAATGAGTTGGGGGAGGGGTAGGTGGACAGTTTCCCAGAAACCTTAAATGGATTCCACTTCCCTACAACATCCTGATCTAAAGTTATACTCACAAGATGTCTAGTGCCCTCAGTGGGTTCTCTCTCCGAGTCTTGTGTTTTTGTTGTAGAATTTGCAGNGTTGGGGGAGGGGTAGGTGGGCAGTTTCCCAGAAACCTTAAATGGATTCCACTTCCCTACAACATCCTGATCTAAAGTTATACTCACAAGATGTCTAGTGCCCTCAGTGGGTTCTCTCTCCGAGTCTTGTGTTTTTGTTGTAGAATTTGCAGCAGTTACTTCATGGTGGTGAGTAAATTGCCTTCCCAAACCATATCCTAAAAAAATAAATAATAGCCAAGTACTGTCAAACCTCTAATAAAAAGACCTTGATCAAGCAGCCAACCACTTAGTGGCCAACATAACAGGCAAAGTATGCTAATTCCTTATGCAATTTCTGTCAAGCTTCAACTGGTAGCAACTTCCATGTATCATTAATGTTTCTATAATTTCAAAAAAGCTAGTCTGAGAAAACAGCTGACATTTTGCGTTGCGACCATTGCATTCCCCACAAAATGACCTTCAAGGAACGAGCCAAGAAATTCCATACTGATGACTTGTCACTACCCAGATCGGGGTAGTGCTCCTGATTGATTAAAGGAAATTTCCCTCATGGACCAACCACTCAGAAGAACTACCCAGATCTGGGTGGAGTAAATTGAAGCAAGTCTTTGCAATTTCCCTTTGCTTTACTGATGAAACATAGACCTTATAATAAAATGGCATGCGCAGGAGCGTTGAGCTAAAAACACAGCCGCTGCCAACTTTGCTTTTGACTGACTTTTGAATTGGATTACTTTGTTTCTCAATACTGTTTTTCTCTATAAGCTGCTTTAAACAGAAAAGAATACCGAAGTCTAAGAAAACCAATTTGCTTTCCACCCCATTGCATTCAAAGTTGAATAAAATTCAAGGACTTTTAAAGGCAAAATTGAATTGAAGGACCATTTCAGGACTCCAGCAAAATTCAAGGACTTTTTAACACTGTGTGAACCTTGCTTTAAGAGTGAAATAAATTTCACGTTTAATTGGCCTTTATCTTAAACATGTTTATTGTATCATACATTCTGATATATATAAAACACAAAATAATACTTCTGAAAAGGCAACCACAAATTTTCTTCAAAAATATTTGTTCCCTGAAATAATTTTTTGCACAATTAGAGGCTTTTCTTATGTTTATTTAACATATTAAAAGTGACAAATGAGATGAAATTGAACACAATCTTTAATACATACTGCATAATTCCTGTTCCCACACAAAAATTATGAAGAAAATTTGATTTGATCAAACAAATAAAATCAAGAAATTCACATCAACAAGAAAATGTGTCTACTTCCTGACTCATCCATACACTAAAGACACACTAAATACTAAAAGCAAATATCATAGATCTTACAAATTCAATAACTTACGAAGTCCTGACTTAAGTTTTTGCAGCATTGAAGTTTTCCTCGTGGAGAAATACTAAACCCAACAAGTTTGATTTGAGAAGTAAACACGCTGAATACCTGCATTAGGGCAAGTCCGCGTCATGACTGGAAGAAACTGAAAACGTTCAGTTTTAAAGCTGAAGTTTGGTTATATTAAGCTTGTTCGGGTTCCATCATCAAAAATATATTACCATAAAGGTTTAGTCTTTTAAAACTAACACTTTGACCAAATACGGACGTGTTTTCTCCTTTCCAACTTGTCTTCCATTCATTTCAGCTCACTTCCTCCACTAACTGAAGTATCATGTAAACAGAAATTACAATAATGGAAGGAAAAACAACTAACCTCGAGAAACGTGATATTTTTCGATATAAGCTTACTCATCACGAGAAAATTGAAACTTTGAAACAAGTACAACCAGAGATCGATGAACGCAAATGAAAGAAAAATCACGAGAAATTCTCTTACATGAGTTTGTGTTGAGCTATTGTTTACCACGATGCCTTTGAATAAACGAAATACTTTGTCAAAGCTTTTACACGTTCTAAGTACAAATGGAAGAGTAGTCACGCCATAAAACGAATCTTATTGTGATCCGTCAAAGAGCCTGGTTTCTCGTCGTTTAACGTGAACAGGCTTGAGATGCAGAGCAGAGAATTAATAAAACAAGTAATATAATAATAAGCTTAAGCGAAGCAAGTTTTGCTCACCTTTCAATATTCCTCTTCAGAACAGCCGTGAATTATACAGAAAATTGAATCCAAAGTTTTAAACGTAAGAAAGCGAAATTCAACGACAGATCTGGGCAGAATAAACGCTATTTGTAGCCTCAGCAGCAAAGTTTTAATTCAATGGAGTATTTGCAATTTTCCTGTCACACGACGAGTCTTTTGTTCAAACGATCGAAAGTGGCAAGAGAATTGCTAGGCACATGACAGTCAATCAATGTCATCATTGAGCTTGAACAAAAACCCTCAGCTCATTTTACAACAAAATATAAACAGAAACTTACCAGCAGCGACATTTTCTAAGCTGTCGAGAGTCTGCAGAACACGGTTAATTCCTTCTTCACTGTCGAGGTCACTTGGTGAAAATATCTGCGCATACAAACATGGCGTACATGGAACATTACTTGTTGAGCGTGCTCAGATAAAACATTAAATTTTAATACAGAAACGCCAGTGTTAATTTTAAACATAATAATATACGAGAATTATTCATATTTGGTATCAAACCTCGTCGTCTTTAAGTTGCAAGTCTTGGCAGGCGCTCAAGAATGCCCTGATGTTTTGAAAACGTTCCTCCTCTGACACAGGTTCCTGTTGTATCTAGAATCAGCGACCAGCGGACACATCAGGACAGAACTCATTTACATGACAAAATACCTGAACAGTATTTCGCTGTTTGTAAACACCAGATCGTCCTCTCACCTTCGTTATTGCGCCTGGTTTTAATCGATTGACTAAACGACACAAAATCGAACCATCTCTCAAAATACTCAGCAGAAATCTGTCAAGGTCATAATCGGCCGTTGTTTGCCGCTGTTCCAAAAGACCCAAAGCGACAAACCAGCTTTCGATTTGGCGCGCTTTAAGCCTCATTTATACAATTTTCATTAATTGTTGTTCGATGCTCTCGCTGTTCACGTGTGAGACAGACAGACCGGCAAAAAAATATTTCTTCCTAAAGGGTAGATGTTTCATAGGGTGGAACGGCATTCCTCACTAATTCATTCCTCAAGAAAAGTTGACAGGAAACCATTATTAATCATCATAAATTACACACCTAACGTGCAAACAACAANCTCAAGAATGCCCTGATGTTTTGAAAACGTTCCTCCTCTGACACAGGTTCCTGTTGTATCTAGAATCAGCGACCAGCGGACACATCAGGACAGAACTCATTTACATGACAAAATACCTGAACAGTATTTCGCTGTTTGTAAACACCAGATCGTCCTCTCACCTTCGTTATTGCGCCTGGTTTTAATCGATTGACTAAACGACACAAAATCGAACCATCTCTCAAAATACTCAGCAGAAATCTGTCAAGGTCATAATCGGCCGTTGTTTGCCGCTGTTCCAAAAGACCCAAAGCGACAAACCAGCTTTCGATTTGGCGCGCTTTAAGCCTCATTTATACAATTTTCATTAATTGTTGTTCGATGCTCTCGCTGTTCACGTGTGAGACAGACAGACCGGCAAAAAAATATTTCTTCCTAAAGGGTAGATGTTTCATAGGGTGGAACGGCATTCCTCACTAATTCATTCCTCAAGAAAAGTTGACAGGAAACCATTATTAATCATCATAAATTACACACCTAACGTGCAAACAACAAAGCTAACGTTGAAAAAATTTCCCCGCGAAATGTTAGTCTGTCTAAGGAAGTTAAAATTTATACTAGAGAGGAGGAAAAAGCATTACTACTGCTCAATTCAAAACTTCTTTGCTGCATACTTTCCAAAATTTATTTGAAAAAACTATATGGCGTGTGGGTGGTTTATTACATTTTTCTACTGCATGTATTTCCTGTCGGTTTTGTTTTAATTGAGAACTAATTACTCGAAGTCTGATATGACAGGGAGAGTTTGTCAGAGGTCGAGAGCTCTCCATTTTTTAAAACACGGCCAAAAATCCTCCTGCTGCCGGGGAACGTTTGATTTACGGGCAAAAACAGGAAACAAGTCAGTGTAAGAAACGAAGACATTTCTTGAAGGGGCAATTTTTGTTGAGCCTTCATTCGGCGTATCCTGTCGTAAAGGAATCTCAACGACTCTTAACGCTTTCTTAAATTGTTCCTATAAAACATCCCAAGATCAATTTTGATACAATTTAGCTTAATACTGAGGAGGCCAGATGTTGCAAAGTAACAGTGTCCCCCGGCCTAGGGCGTGGTCGACTAGTCATTCCGTTCAGCTGATCAACACTCTAAAAAAATAAAACTCAAGTACTAATTTGTAAATCTTTAGAGATATAAAAACCGGATATAAGGAGGAAAAAAGAACAAAGTTCATGATCTTAGGACTCCTCTGCTGCTAAGCGCTGTTTTGACGGTTGGTTTTTCCGTCATGGACCTTTTCTGCGCCATCTTGAAAGGTTCGGTCATGTCTGGAAAAGGAAAAGAATTTGACTTCCACACATACCTTTTACCTGTCTTTTAGGATATGACAAAGCTTTCTGCAAAATAAAAGATCTCAAGTAAAAATAAGTGGGGCGAGTTGGTAACATTCAAACTTTTTAAAAACGTTAAAACAATCTCTCCCCCCTTGGGCGGAGCACTTAGTCCCCAGGGCTCTCCCCCCTTGGGCGGAGCACTTAGTCCCCAGGGCTCTCCCCCCTTGGGCGGAGCACTTAGTCCCCAGGGCTCTCCCCCCTTGGGCGGAGCACTTAGTCCCCAGGGCTCTCCCCCCTTGGGCGGAGCACTTAGTCCCCAGGGCTCTCCCCCCTTGGGCGGAGCACTTAGTCCCCAGGGCTCTCCCCCCTTGGGCGGAGCACTTAGTCCCCAGGGCTCTCCCCCCTTGGGCGGAGCACTTAGTCCCCAGGGCTCTCCCCCCTTGGGCGGAGCACTTAGTCCCCAGGGCTCTCCCCCCTTGGGCGGAGCACTTAGTCCCCAGGGCTCTCCCCCCTTGGGCGGAGCACTTAGTCCCCAGGGCTCTCCCCCCTTGGGCGGAGCACTTAGTCCCCAGGGCTCTCCCCCCTTGGGCGGAGCACTTAGTCCCCAGGGCTCTCCCCCCTTGGGCGGAGCACTTAGTCCCCAGGGCTCTCCCCCCTTGGGCGGAGCACTTAGTCCCCAGGGCTCTCCCCCCTTGGGCGGAGCACTTAGTCCCCAGGGCTCTCCCCCCTTGGGCGGAGCACTTAGTCCCCAGGGCTCTCCCCCCTTGGGCGGAGCACTTAGTCCCCAGGGCTCTCCCCCCTTGGGCGGAGCACTTAGTCCCCAGGGCTCTCCCCCCTTGGGCGGAGCACTTAGTCCCCAGGGCTCTCCCCCCTTGGGCGGAGCACTTAGTCCCCAGGGCTCAATGAAGAAAGACAATATGAATGGACTTACCTTGTTACTTACCTTTTTTGAGGTATCTGTCAGGCCTTAAGAGGTTTATTTTATAACTAAATACATCATGCAGTTGTCTTGGTGTATATACCAAACCAGAAGAAGAAAGACAATATGAATGGACTTACCTTGTTACTTACCTTTTTTGAGGTATCTGTCAGGCCTTAAGAGGTTTATTTTATAACTAAATACATCATGCAGTTGTCTTGGTGTATATACCAAACCAGAATTGTCAGAGAGGCCAAAAACTTCACATCAAAATTATTGGAAAAAAGATGCAAGATGAAAAGAAATATGGAAATATGGATCCTCGAGGCCTTATTAAAAATAATGACCGAGCGCGTACTTTTCCATAGTTTTTGAACCAGCAGGTTATTATTATGGTCATTGAATTGAAACAGCAGGTTATTATTTCTAATAATGATCTTTTGTTCCATCTCAACGACCTGTTCTTAAAGTTTATTTAAAATGATAACCTGTTCAAAACAATGGAAAATTGCATGAAGACTCGACTAATTAACCGACTGTGTTGTGCGAAAAATGAACTTACCATAGGTTTGGTATATACTGAATAAATGACAGACAAACAAGTGCGTTGGCTGCATATCCTTGTTAAGGACCGTGGCAGTATTTTTATTGTTATTTTGAAGACTTTCTTGCAAGGCAAATTGTTCTGGTTTTCTTTATGGTCGGGTAGTGCCTGTTAAAAAATGGAAGGAAGGTGTTATTTGTTGTTGTAAACACTACCGAACTAACGTGTTAAGAATTAGGTAGAATTGCACTCCAAATTAACCTTATTTTATTGTTCACCCGGTTTCTCTCGTTACCTTCAGTCTTATTCACACCTGTCGACTGTTATCTTATGTCAGCCTGAACCGTCCCGGGAAACATTGTAGACATTATAATTCTCTTCCGGTGAAAACTAAGCACTCTACGCCAAAATTACTAACAGTTGGTTCGTTGGCATCCCGTTTTTGCGGCATAAAAGCATAATTTACCTTCAAATCGTACATTAATTAATAAGGTCGCGGTTAAACAAATATGAAAGCATACAGTCTGAGTCAGAGTAATAAAAAACTATCCAACACTTGAAGTTTATTTTATATGTTTAGTCTACAGAAGTGAACACTTCTTAAATCAAAGAGAAAAATTCTAACTGCATAGACATCAACAAAATAGGCCAAATGACCCTAACAATCGCAACTCGCGTTTAACTTGCTGACTACAAGAAAACCTTTATTACATTTTTGTCCCTCCAGCTCAACATTTACCGAGCCAACATAACAAAGGGACCATGCATGCTTGCAGGTAACTTCAGGCGACACATTGAATAACAGTCAGAGCACAGAATTACGACAGAAAATCCGTTATGTAAAGTCTAAAAGAATAATTTCTTTCTGCAGCAAAAATAACCAGTAAGAACCGTCAAAGCAATTTGGACGCTTAAACGATAGCGTAAACGATAGCGTAACTAAAAGTTAAAGTTGAACTAAGAACCAACCTGCTGTTTTCGAGGAGGCAATAGAGAATCTTGACTTTCATTCCAGACCAGAGATCGCCTAACTGAGGTTGGTCTTCACTCAGCTTCACTATACCGCAGGCAAAGCAAGGTACAGAGGTTTCTGGCTTTAAACACAGTTAAATCAACTTGAAATTGGTGTCTCCATTTATACGGTCGCTCGATTAAAAATTCAAACCAATGTGAGAAATGTTTTTGATAAATCTTTTCTTGAAACTGTATGTGAGAAAAGCACGCTTTCTACGTTCAACAATGGGCAATCAAAGCACAGATTGGTCACATTCAAAGAGAAAAGTTTGCCGCCTCGCACAATTACATAACGTAGCTCTAGGTTGAAAACAGTATACCAGTGGATAAGCATGGTACTTGACAATACAGTGAGAAAAACGGCACTCAGTTCATCAACGCTTGAATTAGACGCATTCAGAGAAAAAAAATGCAGACTTGATTAAAACTTGACAAATCGTTGACAAAACTGGTCAGTGAATGAGTAGACAATAGGTCTTTCGGCCCAAGAAAAATTGAAAACACTGCTTATGCAAAATTTTGAAGGGACCACAAAGAGTATTATCGTATTTTTGAAAAAGGCCTATAGCCGTGTGAATTACCACAAGCTAGCCCCTGAATAAATTTAAAAGTACCGGGAAAGAAACATACAAACTTTCCAAACTTCTCGGTAGACAATAAAAGCGGAGAAAGTTGAGGAAAACTAGTGTTAAAGAATTGTTAGCACAGGAACCATTTTGACTCCTAACATTTGATTGCTCAGTGATGTTGACAAAACTAATGAATATTCGAAGACTACAATAGCTTGTTTTGCAACCGCTCGTCACGACTAAACTTAAAAGTGCGAAAAAGCGAAATACAAACTTTAAAAACTTTTAGGTAGACAAAGAACATTATTCATTAAAAAAGCGCAGCAAGCTGAGGACGTTGTGAGACGTCCCTGTTGAGCCATGCAACCAGACAGTAAATGCACTAAAACTACACTGTTTAGGCCTTCAAACCAAGACGAGAATATTCTGGTCCTTTTGAGTTAAGAGGCTATGTCACCATGTTAACTATCCTTTTAA